TCTTTCCAAAATTATTAAGACTAAATATAAAAATTAGGTTTCTATCTTCTATTTGTTCACACAAGAAGTGCTGAAGGGACATGTTTTCCAACTAGGATATATATATTGCTGTGGAGGGACCTGGGAGAGGCCCTCAAAGTGAGAGTCATCCTCCAAATCAATTGACACTGACAGACATCAGGAAGCCTGTGTGAATGCTCAGCAGAGCAATGTCACACACATACACATACTTTTTAAGTTACTATAGGTAGAGGAAAAAAAAAAAACAATGATATAAAATATGAGCCTCAAATCAAAAGGCACATGACTAACTTAGAAATATATATATGTTGAAGCACCATCAGCTATTTTTTCACACTAACAACATCAAGTAACCAGCAAAAGGTTAAGTAGCTGAAAGAATTTAAAAGCAGTCAGCAATTTTCCCACACAAAATGTTGGATAGCCAAATAGTATAGAATACTCGTCACAGACTATTTTTTAAAGTATGTGTGCTGTGCTTAGTCACTCAGTTATGTTCAACTCTTTGCGACCCCGTGGACTGTAGCCCGCCAGGCTCCTCTGTCCATGGGGATTCTCCAGGCAACACTGGAGTGAGTTGATATGCCCTCCTCCAGGGGATCTTCCCAACCAGTGATGGAACCCATGTCTCCCGCATTGCAGGAGGATTCTTTATTGTCTGAGCCACCAGGAGAGCCCAAGACTACTGGAGTGGGCAGCCCATCCCTTCTCCAGGGGATCTTCCCAACCCAGGAAGCAAACCGGGGTCTCCTGCAATGCAGGTGGGTTCTTTACCAGCTGAGCTACCAGGAAAGCCCTCTTTTTAAAATGTGGTAACCTTGACTGATCAAGATCAATCTACGTATGATGCCAACAAGGAAAAAACTTACTGTTTGTGCACTATCATCTAACCACCTGCTTTTAGGGACTCAAGACTACATCAAGCTTCAGTAATGTATTAATCATAAAAACTTCCAACTTGTTTGTGATGTATTTAATTTCCAGAAGATGTTATAACATAAATAAAACATACCTTTCTTCTTCCTTCCTCCTTCCGATCAAAAGCACATTGTTGTTTGCACTGTTCACAAGTCTGAGGTGGTCCATATTTTTTTTCTGAATTTGTGCAACGCTGACACTTTGTACCAATAAATGCTGCAATTATGTTACAGTACTGACAGGGCTTAGGCTGAAAAAAACAGATACGTATTTTCTTTAACTGAGACATTTAAAAATACTAAAATTTTGGTGCATAACCTAATCTCAGTGTACAGGGCATATTTCAGGAGTTAATTAAGGAAATGTTATAATGGGTGAAAACATTTGTTAATTATGTTGCTCTATCATAGTCAAAGACATTTATTCATATAGTAACACATTTCTAAACTCATGAAACTTTTTACTCTATTAAATAGCTAAATAAGACCATGAGAAATGTATTTATGATTCACATAGTATGTTATATAATACAAAAGCTACATGTAAAAAAGTTCCAATCAAAGGCACACACTGATAGAAAAATTTCATATATCCATATTTGAGGGAAAGAATTTCTACTAACTCAATATCCTGTTAATTACTTTATCATTTATTCAGCATACATTTAGCAGCTTTCATCATGTATAAGTACAGATGATGCAAGGAACAGATGAGTTTTCAACTAAAAAAAATTGGCACAAGCATATTCAACTGTAACAAACATACCTTGATTTTCTTTGATATCCAAGACAACTCAGATTTTAGAAAGCCTTAAGGCCAGCAATTTTACTAATCATGACTGTAATATACCAATAATGAGTGCAATATACATAAAAGAAAAGAATTATACTAGGATAACTTCTTGACTTTTGAGACTAAATGCCTGAACACTGTGCTGTATATAAAAACTGTCAGAGGTTCTGAGGAAGGGGAAAAATACAATTATGCAAATTATGAATATGTAGGTTCTCCAACATCAGGAGTTTGTTATATTTGTCTCTTTAAAGAATAAGACCATAAATGTCACACTGAAATTCAATATATACAAACATGCACATAATATGACTGCTTTAAAATGTTGTTTTCCCAGCTGACCCTCTATAGAAAGTTTCTTTCCTGAAATATTTTGCTACTTTGAAACATTTAAGAACACAGCAATATATATTTTTTAAAAGGTGAATCTTTGTGAAAACATTAACAGATCAGTGGCAATAAGATGAAAATATAAATATACTTACAGTGCCAAATTGCTTCACATTTTGAGCACACTTCTTACAAATTGTATTTGTTTTGCTGAAAAGGAAATTGTATATAGATGATGAAACTTATGCAGCACAATGTTGAACTAAAGCAAGCAGTCAAAGTGTACTATAAGTAAAAGTGTACTCTCTGCTTTAATAGTACTTAAAACTTATTCTAACACAGAGCAAGAATTTTTCAAAAATAACAACATAAGATCTTTTCAGGGCTGTATTTTTTTATCTAAGTTTACTCCTCTTAATTAAGAGAAATGTTATTGCATATTTTAAATGGAAACAAAACTAAAATTCTATCGCTTCCTACTTAGTTCCAAAATCTTCACTTGCCACCATGTATGCACAGCATCAGTGCCTACATAACCTTCCACTGTTTGCTCTTCACTATTATGATGCTTATACCTGTGAAGAAATTATTTTTCATTATTCTTTTTATAAACTCTTCTATAGGTACTGAGGCTCTAACAGGAATCACTCCATTATAAGATGTGTTTTTCTTTCACTGGTGACAAGTTACTAGACTTTGCTATAGATCTTTCCTCAAGTCCATGTCAGCACTAATGTTCTATCTTTTTAAGTTTTTTTGATGTGGGCCATTTTTATAGTCCTTACTCGGACTTTAAACAAACAATATTTGTTAAATTTTTTGTGTTTTGGTTTTTGATGGCCTCAAGGCATGTTGTATCTTAGCTCCTTCACCAGGGATGGAACCTGCACCCCCTGCATTGGAAGGCACTTAACCACCGAACTACAAAAGACGATCCTGTCGTTTTTTTCCCATCTTAACAACAACTGATATATGCACTTTTCATTAGCAAGGCTGTATATTTTCTTTGCAATAATTTATTTTTTATTTCCTCAGGTATAAAGTATAGCTGTAAAATACCCATTAATTTTTGGTGAATATTCTCTCTCCTACTATGTAGAAACATGTAGAAAGTGCTTACAACTATAATTCTGAGAAACTAAAGCACTTTATTTAAAAAAAGCTTTAATATATATACCGGGTTACAAGCCTCAAGTATTCCTTACAGACAATACTTTGCCTTTAACAATCAAAAACTGTTCAATATACAAACCTCTCTTGTTGAAATTCTGATCTGCAGTAAGTACATTTTACAATAGGATGTGCAATCCGACATTCCTGTAATAAGACAATATATTAGTCAGTATCTCGAAGTCCCAAATTTCACTTTTCTGGTGGAAAATCATTACTCAACGTAGTCAAATGCCTGAAACGTCAATAAAATCTGTCCCCCAAAGAAGACAATTGAGTGATTTTATCAAATAAGTGGCCAATTACAGCATAATTCCTTAGGGAAGGCTTAGATGTCTTTGTCTTTATTAGATATGGGGGGTACTCAACAGATTAAAATTACAGAAAGCTGTCAGGGCCGCCCCCAAGGACTGGTTAAATGTGAAACTACTTGTTATTTTGCACCGTCGCTCACAGACAGCATCCCGGCTTTAATGGGATGGGAGGAGCTCCAAATCTTAGAGCATTCTGTTCCCAAGCCAGACGCTTCGCTTTCCCGGACAGGGAAGGAGGATGCCATCAGCTCTGCGGCTTCGGGTTCCTAGCAAGAAAGTGCAAACACCGTCCTCTGCCTCCCGGTGGAAGGAGAGGACAGACCAGACAGGAAACCGAGAGGAAAACGTCTCCATCCCGGGGTCTCTGCGGCACAGACAGGTGGCTGCCTCACGCAGCCCCACCCCGAGACCCCCTCAACGTTGCTGGGGCCCGGACCCCTCTCGGGCCGCCTGGAAGAGGGCAGGGCTCTGTCTTCCTCTGAGGGGCTTTCCCAGCGGATGCCCAGGTCCTCGGAGAACCGGGTCTCTGGGTGAGAAGGAGAGAACTCCAAACCCCCAAGACGCCAGCGAGGAGAGACAGAGGGGGTGGGGGGGCTGCAGTGCCACAGGGGCACCCAGCTCCCTCGGGCCACGGCCGAGGAAACCCCGCCCGCCCGCCACCCAGCGCCCACGGACCTTGCAGAGCTGCTGGCCCTGGGAGAGCTCCTCGAAGGGATAGCGCTGGGTGCACTTGGTGCAGGCATACAGGGCCGAGGCCGCCATCCTGCTCCTCAGCCTCCTCCTCTACCGCCGCCCGCTCCGAGGCGGGGCCCCACGGGGAACTCGGGCGCCGCCGCTGCCGCCGCCCGGGCCGCGCGGGCTCCTCCTCCTCCCCCGCCCTCGGCCTCGCTCCCACCAGACCCTCGCCGCCAGAGCCCAAGGCCCCGCGGCCGCAGCCGTCTCCCTCCGCCTCCACTTCCGCCCCAGCCCACCCAGTGACGCCGTCCCAGCCGCTCCCGCTTAGGCCCCGAGAGCGGCGGAGGGAGACGAAGCGGGGAGTTTCGCTGCGGTTTAGCTGCGCGGCGGCAGATCCGCTTCCTCCTCGGCCTCCCCTTCCGCACCCCTGATTGGCTGAGGCGGCGACTGCGTCACTCGGCCGCCCCGCCTAGCTTCTGACCCCCGGTACGCCGGGCGCGCCCACAAAGGGAGGACGTCGCTGGCCAATAACAGCCGGACGCCCTCAGCGCGCGAAAGCTACTTTAAACTCGCCCCGCCCCGAGGCCCCGGTCGCAGCTATTTCCAGCAGCCAGTCCCAGGTTTGCGTAGGAGCTCCCCAATCTAATTGGGCAGTTGTTTGTAGAGGTTTACTCTCTGCCCCGACTTTTTTTTTTTTCTCCCCTTGACTTCCATTGGACCAAATCTCTAGGCCCCTCCTTATCCTATTTGTTATTGGCCGAAAGGGAAATACCTCACCTGGAGAGGCGTCCCAGGGTCAAACTCAAGCTCTCTCCGGCGTTTAGCCCGAGGGAAGTGATGGAGGGTTTTGAGCTTCGAATTCGGTTTTATTTTATCCCATTCAACTCACTCGCCACTGGAGACACCATAACCCCTCGCCCAGGTTTCCCCCTCGAGAATGCCCGCCTCTGCGCAGAAACCCCTCAGGAGCGCCGCGCAGTCGCCCGCCGCGTTCCGGCGGCGCTCTGTCGGCGACGAGCTACCTTGTGACGTCACCGAGGGAAGAGGCGGGTTCTCCCGCCACTGGAAGATGCCTGCTCTTTTGATTGGCTGCTCAGGACGTCCGTTAGGGCGTGTGGTCCTTTCCTTGTGCGCTCCGAGCGTGGGCGTCCCGCTGGGGGTGTGTGGCAGGGGTTTCCAGACCCGGCACCTGCACCCTAGCCCCTTCCATCAGGGGTTCGGCCCAGGGTCGCCCCTGGCGGGCGGCTCGCGAATCTTGAAGAACAGCCACGCAAACCCGGAGCGTCCCGGGCCTGCGGAGGTCCCCTGGGCGGGCTGGAAGATGGCGGCAGCATCGGTCTCTGAGACTTCGGCTTCTCAGTTCTCGGTAAGAAGCCGTTGACCTTCAAATAGACCCTGGGTCGCTTCCAGCGCCCCCTGTGCATTATCTCACTTTTCAGAGCGCTCTCGGTCCCGCGTCTCCCCAGTCCTGGGGAGCCGCGGGGGACACCTCGATGGCTCCGTTGCTGCTTCGGCGCCCACTGCTTCGTTTGAGGCTGCACCCTGCAATTGAGACGGCCTAGGTCTGTCTCTCCCCGCCTGCCCCCGTCACCTTTCGGCGTAGCCGCCCTGGCTTGCAGAACGTTGCCTGGACTCGCAGGGATGGCTACCTACACCTTGGCCCGCGAAAACCGTGTTCCCGGGTCACGTGGGTGTAACGGCCCCTCTTGGAAACTGTCCGAGACTAGGTGGGCGCTCTAGTTCGTCCACTTGATTGGCGGCTGTTGAATTGTACGCAGCCGAGTGCTTCTGCGGATTTCTTTGCCTTCAGCGCCTCCTCCCATCCTCCCAGTAACTTCGATTTGTGCTTAGCCTACCCTGAGCGCGCGCACGCTCTTCCTGCTTCCCACCGTATTACGATGGCCCCAGGTTGCAAATCAGCAGGGAGAGCTGATCTTAATTACTGTATTGGCCTCTAGAATAATAGCTAGCCTGTTGAGGTACTAGTATTTTGTTGGAGCGGGACCCTTCGCATTGGGACTGGATAAGCAGTAAATGAATGTGAAGAAGCTCAAGTTGGAGCCGTTAGCTCTTCACGAGCAAACCTGAGTGTCTGGCACACAGACAGGCTCTAGGATTACACAGATGGATAGGGGAGAATCCTTGCTGCTAAGGAAGAAAGCACTGAAGAGAAGCTACACGTAATTAGGTTGTTACACAGTGCGATTTGATAAATACTACCCTGCTAGAAAAACCTACGTGAAAGTGATGAGCAGTTCTTGGGGTAGGGGAGATGGACCTAGCTGAGTGGTGAAGAAATAGGAAATGCTTGTCCCAGGAGCCGAAAAGGGAGGATAAAAAGGCACCGCAGCAATTTGGATTATGTGCCAAGACAAGTGCTTTCAGGAAACTTTAAATAATTTGAAATGAGCAGTGGTAGTGTGAAGGTAGAGTTCGGTTAGGTGAATTGTTAAAATATGAGAAAAGAGGGAAAATATTAGGGTAAAGTTTAATAGAAGTTAATCGGAAGAAGTTTAGGGAGACAGTAACAGCAATATCACCTTGGCGAAAATACTCCTTTTCCCAGTTTCAGCTTTTGGTGACTGTTGCTAACATTTGTTTTACTGAGGCCAGAAGTGATATTCAAGGTTTCAGCACAGTAAAGGTAGCAAGTGTGTGGAGAGGTCAGAGAAGATTAACAGGAAAGAAGGAAGGTAACAATTGGAGTTATCCAGGAACTAAGTCAGTACAAGGGAAGATAAAAGACAAGCTTAGGCTATTAAGTGTAACTTGATGGATGAGATATCAGTCAGTTCAGTTCAGTTGCTCAATAGTGTCCGACTGTTTACGACCCCATGGACTACAGCACACCAGGCCTCCCTGTCCATCACCAGCTCCTGGAGTCCACCAAAACTCATGTCCATTGAGTCGGTGATGCCATCCAACCATCTCATCTACTGTTGTCCCTTTTTCTCCCACCTTCAATCTTTCCCAGCATGAGGGTCTTTTCAAACGAGTCAGCTCTTTGCATCAGGTGGCCAAAGTATTGAAATTTCAGCTTCAACATCAGTCCTTCCAATAAACACTCAGGACTGATTGTAGGATGAATAGGTTGGATCTCCTTGCTGTCCAAGGGACTCTCAAGAGTCATCTCCAACACCACAGTTCAAAAGCATCAATTCCTCGACGCTCAGCTTTGTTTATAGTCCAACTCACATCCATACATGACCACTGGAAAAATTATAGCCTGGAGTAGACGGACCTTTGTTGGCAAAGTAATGTCTCTGTTTTTTAATATGCTCTCTAGGTTGGTCATAACTTTCCTGCCAAGGAGTAAGCATCTTTTAATTTCATGGCTGCAGTCACCATCTGCAGTGATTTTGGAGCCCCCCAAAATAAAGTCTATCACTGTCTCCACTGTTTCCCCATCTATTTGCCTTGAAGTGATGGGACCAGATGCCATGATCTTAGTTTTCTGAATGTTTAGCTTTAAGCCAACTTTTTCACTCTCCTCTTTCACTTTCATCAAGAGGCTCTTTAGTTCTTCTTCACTTTCTGCCATAAGGATGGTGTCATCTGCATATCTGAGGTTATTGATATTTCTCCCGGCAGTCTTGATTCCAGATTGTGCTTCATCCAGCCCAGCGTTTCTCATGATGTACTTTGTGTGTAAGTTAAATAAGCAGGGTGACAATATACTGCCTTGATGTACTCCTTTTCCTATTAGAAACCAGTCTGTTGTTCCAAGTTCGGTTCTAACTACTGCTTCCTGACCTGCATATAGATTTCTCAGGAGGTCGGTCAGGTGGTCTGGTATTTCCATCTCTTTCAGAATTTTCCACAGTTTATTGTGATCCACACTGTCAAAGGCTTTGGCATAGTCAATAAAGCAGAAATAGATGTTTTTCTGGAACTCTCTTGCTTTTTCGATGATCCAGTGAATGTTGGCAATTTGATCTATGGTTCCTCTGCGTTTTCTAAATCCAGCTTGAACATCTGGAAGTTCACGGTTCATGTATTGTTGAAGCCTGGCTTGGAGAATTTTGAGCATTACTTTGCTAGTGTGTGAGATGAGTGCAATTGTGCGGTAGTGTGAGCATTTTTTGGCATTGCCTTTCTTTGGGATTGGAATGAAAATTGACCTTTCCAGTCCTGTGGCCACTGCTGAGTTTCCAAATTTGGTGGCATATTGAGTGCAGTACTTTCACAGCATCATCTTTTAGGATTTGAAATAGCTCAACTGGAATTCCATCACCTCCACAGGCCCACTTGACTTCACATTCCATGATGTCTGGTTCTAGGTGAGTGATCACACCATCATAATTATCTGGGTCATGAAGATCTTTTTTGTACAGTTCTATGTATTCTTGCCACTTCTTCTTAATATCTTCCGCTTCTGTTAGGTTCATACCATTGAAAATGAAAATGAAAATTCATTGAAAATGAAAGTGAAGTCGCTCAGTTGTGTCCGACTTTTTGCGACCCCGTGGACTGTAGGCTGCTGGGCTCCTCCACCCATGGGTTTTTCCAGGCAAGAATACTGGAGTGGGTTGCCATTTCCTTCTCCAGGGGACAGAAGTTCTATAGAGTTTTTAATAGGAAAACATATATTTGTATATGCTAAGCTCAGCTTTAAGTGGATTCTCAGCTTCCAGAATACTCTTAAGAATATCTAGAATGCTTTATACATCAAAGTGTAACTCTTTTAACTTGACCATTTAAATCAAAATGTCTAATTTGGAAGTCAGTATGTCTCAAAACAAAAATGACAATTTATCAATGTGTAATGGCTGTGCTTTGATACTTTTAACTGTCGTATCAAAAATAAGCCTGGCATTTATAGCAGAATTTATAAAGCACTTTATCTTAACAGACAACTGCTTATAAAATAAGACAACAAAAGACCTTCTAAACCTACAAAATGAACTCAGCAGGCTACTCATAATGAGATTTCAGAGTTGTGAATATTAACCGTTTCTGTGTATTTAACATTGATAAACCCAGCATGCGTGCTCAGTTGCTTTAGTCGTGTCCAACTCTTTGCAACCCTGTGGACTGTAGCCCACCAGGCCCCTCTCTCCATGGGATTCTCCAGTCAAGAATACTGGAGTGGGTTGCCATGCCCTCCTCCAGGGGATCTTCCCGACCCAGGGTTTGAACTCAGGGCTCCTGTGTTGCAGGCAGATTCTTTATTGCAGAGCCCAGGGGGAGGCCCCAGACACAGTTTAGGTGTAATAAAATGAAGATGCTTTTAGCAGGCAAGGAGTTTTCTTAGGTAAATTCAGTAATAATACAATCTGTAAGTAGCAGTTGAGGTGTAAATCTCAAATGTGAACAGTGTGGAAGTAGGTGATACATTTGAATTGTTCTTACAAGCCTTTCACTGCAACAACAACAGGAAGAGTGACAGCTACCAGCTAACATTTATTGAATGACTGCTATGTATCAACTCACTAGTGGAGAGCCTCAGGAAAATATTAGTAAGTATGATCAGGCATAATGATAGAAAAGTATATAGTCAGCATAATGTTGTAACAGTATCCTTCCTGTAAAAACAGTATCATGGTTTTTACTTATTTGTTTACATTTTTCCCATTAATAATGGTCAGTCTTTCCTTTTGGCTCAACTGGTAAAGAATCCGCCTGCAATGCAGGAGACCCCAGTTTGATTCTTAGGTCAGGAAGATCCCCTGGAGAAGGCATAGGCTGCCCACTCCAGTATTCTTGGGCTTCCCTTGTGGCTCAGCTGGTAAAGAATCCGCCTGCAATGCGGGAGACCTGGGTTTAATCCCTGGGTTGGGAAGATCCCCTGGAGAAGGGAAAGGCTACCCACTCCAGTATTCTGGCCTGAGAATTCATAGACTGAATAGTCCGGTCAACACACTCTTGTGTCACTTTGGACTTAAACTGGTCTCCTAATTGGTCTCTCTGGCTTTTTATCCAGGCCCATTGTTATTGCTCTTTATTTTTCTTAAAAGTGTTTTATGATTGTTTCATAGATTTCATATGAGATTCATTTTGGGGAATCAGAATGAGTACATTCATGCCCCTTTGTGCATCTTCCTGCTTCTGTCTTTTACTCTCTTTCACACACACATTTTGAGATTATAATAATGTGTAATACTTGTGTAGCACTCATAATCTGGCAGGCATTTTAAATACTTTTCATATATTAACGTAGCTAATCCTTACAGTAATTTTATGAGGTTGGCTTTAGTATCTCCATTTTCAAATGAGCAAAAGAAGGTACAGAAAGGTTAATTGAAAATTATACAACTAGCAAATGTCAGTGCTTTTATATTTCTGTGTAGTATAGTATCTTGATGGGCTTTGGAGTTTTTAGGGTTTGTTCATGTTTGCCAGCTATAATGAGCAGTCTTGTTGTGA